TTTTTACAACCACTTTGGTGAATAATTGGCAATGTCTAGGAAAGATGAAGATAATTCATAGCCGTGTATGTAATTCCACTTCTATATATATCTTGCAAATTCCGTGGAAAAAAACTCTTACAGTGTACACAAGAAGAAATGTATAAGAATGTTCATAGGATCTTTTTAAAGCAAATAAAAAAATGGTAACAATCTAAATGTCCCGTAGCAGAAGGCTAGATGTATTTTGGTATATTCATACAATGAAATACTTTATATACATTACGTGAATGAACTAGATTTGTCTGTCTATTGACTGCTCCTTCGTTCTGATGTAATATTTGTGGTAGATGTTAATGTTGTTCACCAGATAGTCTTCTTGTTGTGGGCACTTCTCGCAGGCACACATTAGGATTGCACTTTCCCACTCCCTTTGAAGTTAGGCAAGGCCATATGATGTGCCTTGGTCAATGAAATTTAAGTAAAGTGTTGTGTGTTACTTTGGGGGGAGAATTTTTGTTTTATTCTTAATGTTGTTGTGGTAAAATATATATAACAAAGTTTGCCATTTTAACCATTTTTAAGTGTCCAATTCAGTGACATGATGTGCAGTCACAATATTGTGCAACCTTCAACACTATTTCCAAAAACTTTTTTATCACTCCAAACAGAAACTCCATAATTGTTAAGTAATAACTCCCCATTCCTCCCTCCTACCCTACCCTACCTCTGAGCCCCTGGTAACCTCTGATCTACTTTCTGTCTCTATGCATTTGCCTGTTTCAAATAAGTGGACTCATACAATATGTGTCCTTTTGTGTCCGGCTTATTTCATTTAGCATAATGTTTTTGGGGTTCATCCATGTTGTATATCTTCATTTTTTTTTATGACTGAATAATATTCCACTTTATGAACAGTGGATTCTCATTATTCGTGGTAGTTATATCCAAGAAAGCTGTCACGAACATTGAATTAGCAAATACTGAACCGTTGCTCTTAGGGGAAATACAGGGTTAGGTTCCCGTGAGCCTCTGGTCACAACGTTTTCATCAACTCAATCAATACATAATCTTGTTTTGTCTGTGTTTCTGTTTAAAGACACCTTATTTAGGATATTCGTATGTTTCGTTCATTAACATTTAACTCACAGCCAACGGCACTATAACTCATACCTGAATGAAGTTTATCCAACACAATTGTTTTCTCTGTAAGGCACATCACAGTTGTCTTGCACTTAGGAGCACTGAACAGCACTTCAGCACTACAATTGGGGGCCATTTTAAACAGCTAAATCACCGACAAACAGCACAAAAATGTGAAAAGTGTGGCGTTAAAGAGCCATGAAAAGGATACTTGTTTACAATATGAGAGCTGAAACAAGAAGGTAGATTATTGCCTTATTTGACCTTAGCTAGGAATGTGTATGTCGGGCAGCTCAAATTGTTTGCCATTCTGTGCATATCTGTGAATGACTGCAAAAGCACTGAAAGTATTGATATTGGGATTACAAATAAATTTTAGTGAGTATGTGAATTCTCAAGTACTGAATTTTTGAATAGTGAAGATCAGCTGTATATACCACATTTTGTTTATCCATTTATTTGTTAATGGACACTTTTTTTTTTCACATTTTGTCTATTGTGAATAATGCTGCAGTAAACATTGTGTACAAATATCTGTTTGAGATCCTGCTTTTGATTCTTCTGGGTATACATCTAAGAGTGGAATTGCTGGGTCGTATGATAATTCTCTGTTTAACTTTTTGAGGAATTGCCAATCAGTTTTCCACAGTAGCTGCACCATTTTGCATTTCCACCAGCGATGCATGAGAGTTCCAGTTGTTTCACATTCTCACCAACATTTACTATTTTCCTTTTTTTTTTTTTTTCAATAGCCATCCTAGTGGGTGTGAAGTGATGTCTCCTTGTGGTTTTGATATGCATTTTCCTAATGACTAATGATGTTGAAAGGAGCCTTGGTGGTGCAGTGGTTAAGCTCTTGGCTATTAACTGAAAGGTTGGTGGTTGAAGCCCACCAGCCACTCTGTGGGAGAAATATCTGACAGTCGGCTTCTGTAAAGATGTACAGCCATGGAAGCCCTCTGGGGCAGTTCTCCTCTGTCTTGTAGGGTCACTATGAGTTTGAATCGACTCAATGCCAATGGCTTTTTTTGAGGAAAGTGATATTGAGTATCTTTTCATGTGGTTATTGGCCTTTTGTATATATGGTCTTTGAAGAACTGTCTATTCGAGTCCTTTGCCCACCTTTAAATTGGATTGTTTGGTTTTTCTTCGTTGTTGTTCAGTTGTAGGAGTTCTTTATATATTCTGGATATTAAATCCTTATCAGACACAACTCGAAAAATGTAATCATTGTCACTAAATTTTATATTCAGAAACTGTTGAATTAGTGTATGTTAAAATAAATAAAATTTAGGGAAAAAAATGAACTGACAGAAAAAATCCTTACAGGTATATGACTTTCTCCCATTCTGTAGGTTGTCATTTCAGTTTCTTGATAATATCCTTTGATGCACAGAAGTTTTCAATTTTAATAAAATGTAATTTATCTATTTTGTTATTCATGTTTTTGGTATTATATCTAAGAGTCCGTTGCCAAATTCAAGGTCATGAAGATTTACCCCTGTGTTTTCTTGTAAGAGTTTTATGATGTTAGCTCTTACATTTAGGTCATTAATCCATTTTGAGTTCTTTTTTGTATATGATATGAAGTAGGGGCCCACATTCATTCTTTTGCATGTAGAATGCAGTTGTCCCAGCACCATTTGTTAAAGAGACTGTTCTTTGCCCATTGAATTGTCTCAGCACCCTTGTTGAAAATCAATTGGCTATGGATATATGGGGGAGAGTTTTAAGAGCCAGTCCTCAGCTCACTCTTTTCCCACTGCTGCTGTGATTGTGGAAGGCATATGTCAATATGAAGTCTCTGTCACTCTGGTCCCTGTCTGATACAGTGAGCAGAGCCACCTTGCCAACCATCACTGAATACATAGAGTGAGTGATAAATAAACTTGTGCTATGTTAAGCCACTGAGAGTATCAGAAACTATCTATTAGTGCAGCATAACCTGCCTATAATATTATTTTATGTCTTAGCCCAGTTTACCGTGTATTTTGTGCCACTTCCTTAAGTTCCCTCTCCCAAATTGTGGAATATTTCCCCTTTTCCATGACAAAGAAGAACTATGACTTGCCCTCTAAGTATAGTCCTTCGTGTCTGTCTCTTTCCAGTCATTGAGAACTTCTCTCTGAGCCTCTTCTCTGCTAGGAAATTGTCCTTACAGATTATTCCACCAATATTTTTGCTTGTTGCTTTGGAGTTAAGCTTAGAGTCAAGGGATTCATAACTAGAAAGCCCTTCCTTCTTTCCTTCCTTCCTTCCTTCCTCCCTTATGTATGGATAGCTTTCCTCATCTGCAGAAAGCCAGACAGTTAGTGAAGGTACATGAGATAAGAGTTCAAGTCTAGGCATTGCCAACTTTGGAAAATAAATGCATTGCTTAGAAGACACATGTACAATTATTTACTCCCCATGAGGTCTTCTGGTTTTACTTACTTTCATTATAAGGTAGGAGTAGTAGTATTGCTCACCCTCTCCCTTTTCAGAGAGGGTAATATTATACTGAAAAGTATAGCAGGTTTATGTATCTAGTGAGAAATTGTTTTTTTTCCCAACCCATTTTTAAATTATGTAAAATAGGTTACAGATTTTGAATGTGAATAGCTAGGGTTAATTTTAGAATTGGTTAAATAACTTAAATGTTAGAAGAAAACCCCAGTGCTAATAAGGGAACAGAAAGGTCCTGAGGAACTTAAAAGGCCTTCACCTTTTTTCGTTCTCTTCTCGGTGTTTAGAGAATCTATGTCATTTTTGGACAGTCATCATTTTCTGAGAGCCCTTGACTTTTATGAATGAACAGGTTGATATGAAATTAAAGTGTAGAGAGAGACTCAGAATCAAAACAGAGCTGGTATTTCAAAATCTAGCAGTTCATGAACAAAGGAAAGAGCATAAGTGTTGGAATGCATAAATAGTAAACAAAAAATAGAAAATGAGTCATGGTTGAGGGCAACTGTATATTCTGAAAAGGGATTGGAACCATGTCCTGAGTCACTTCCCTGTTTTATGAATTCTAAAATCCTCTGTTTATATATGTCATGCTTCTTCAAACAGATTTTCAGAAGAGTAAATATAATAAATATGTACAGTTTAGAGAATGCTAATAAAATAAATGCCCTTGTACCGATCGCTAGCTTAAGAAGCAGAACAAGACCAGTACTTTTTTAAGCTCCCAGGGACCTCTCTAAGATTTCCTCTTCTCTCTCCCTGGACGTAACTATCCTCAATTTTGTGTAATACTTGCCTACATTTCCTTTCTTAGTTTTACATGTATGTGTATAGCCCTAAACAAAGTATATTTTTAGTTTTTTTTTTTTTTTATTCAGGTGATGGCTTACAGAACAAATAGTTTCTCATGAAACAGTAGTACACATATTGTTTTATGACATTGGTTGTCAACCCTCTAACTTCTCAACCTTTTTATTTTTAGTTTTGCCTTTTTTAAAACTTTGTATAAATAAACTCATACTCTCTGTGTTCTTCTGTGCCTTGCTTTTTTCTCTCAACATTTGTTTTTGAGATTCATCCATTTGAATATAGTTATAGTTAAGTCATCTCAATTGCTGTGTAGTTTCCCATTGTAGTTATATCCCACAATGTATTTACCAATTCTGCATTTTTGTGGGTATCATATTTCTCTATAATAAAATACTTTGGGGTTAATTGCTACATGTAATTTGATTTGCTCTGACTTTAAGTTTTTTTTTTTTTTTTTTAAAGCTATTTGTCATCAAAATTGTGTTTATATCTTAAGATAATCAAGATGTTTTAATTTCCCTCTTATCATTGATTTGAGGCAGTAATTAATTTTGTTCTGAGCACACTATCGGGATATATTTGGCTTCTCATCCTAATGCCAAATTTTGTGTTTGGATTCATAGTTCCCACGGAGAATGTTGCAACAATTTCTGATTGTGCCAGCGTTATTGAAGGTGTCAGTCGGAGCAGAAATGCCTTGCTAAATGGAGACACCAAAAATTATGATTGGGATTCTGGCTACACGTGTCATCAGCTAGGCAGCGGTGCGATTATGGTTCAGCTGGCACAGCCATACATGATCGGGTCAATACGGTAAGAATATGTCTTTACATTCATTACTTTTAAAATGGAAAACATACGTGCAACTTATATTTTAGTTAAATGATGATCCCAATAACGTCAGTGAAGAAACTACTGTTCTTTGCTCTAAATATCCTTAGAGAAGAAAAATGAGAGGCAAAGAGGTATAGGGTGCTTGCTTGGATCTTCTGGTGGGGAGATGCACCAAAATTGGGCTTGTGGAGGGATTAGATTAGTGGCCCCTCCCTGCATGTTGCTTACTTCCTCTCAAGTGTCAGTTTGGACTAGTTAGGGGCTTGTAGGAAAATATCAAGAGAGGTTATACAGAATGAAAAATCATTTTTAAACCTTAACAAATGACTTTATATATGAACTAAACTGAATATGAGACCTGGTTCTAAAGGATCTTAGTGACATTCGTGGCTAAGTTTTTGTTTGTTTTGTTTTAAGAAGGGGACTTTAACCCAGTATTGCTTGATTTATAGGATTGTGTAATTTGTAAATGTGAGAATCTGAGTCTTAAGTAGGCCCCTTCCCCCCTTCCTTCCGCTTCTTCCCTCCTCTCTTTCCCTCCTTCCCTTTTTTTTTTTTTTTTTGGTTTTAAAAAGGACTCTGAAGCACTAATGTAAAAAACCTGTCTTTGCCTGCCTGGAGCAGAAGTGTTGGCAGGACATGGCTGTCTGCCCTGCATCATGCTCTACAACATCTGCATTGTTGCTTCCTGTACTCATTTTAAACAGTCAGTATGTATAAAGAAAGAAACAGCAGAAAGTATAAGGTAGTAGGATTCTACTAGGGAAAGGTTTATTGATGTTTAGGCTAATAATCACAGAGGTTAATGCTGCTTGCCAGTTCCCTGGGGCACCCTGAGTAGTTGCTGCTGGATTTCTTAAAGAATTAAGACTGTGAAATTCTTCATTTAAATTGTCAGCCCCTTTTCATAAAGGGCCATATCACAGGCTGAGTACCTAGGCAACAAATCAGAGATAGAGAAGCCTGGAGTTCATACTGCAGATCAGACAACTCACTTTGTGCTTAGGAAGGGGATGAGACAAGCCACAATCAGTCTGGGTTACCTACCAGTACAAATAAACTTCGTCAAATAGCAAACAACTCCCCTTCTTTTTCTCAGTTGCATGCCTTAACTAAAGTACTCGTAAGCCATCTATTTAATAAGCCATTCTAGAATTATCATAAATGGTGTCAAGTTTATCTGTGTATTTCCTACTACAATCTATCCCTCCTCACTTTAAAAATCTGTTGTCCTTCTCTTGTCTTCTCACACTCCTTAAAGTCTCCACAATTTCTTGAAGATTACCAAATCGTGTTTCTGAGATTACATCTGCAGTTTCTTTCAGCAGGCTTTGGGTGTAACTCATTTGAGCCAGGAGACTTGAAATCGTTTAAATTGACTTCACCTATTTGGGGCTTCAGTTTTCTCTTTATTATGTTTGTTCTGCCATTTCTAATTTGAAGACCAGTCTTCTTGCCAATGAAGATGGAAGCAAACTGGCAGCTCAGTAGCTCTGCCTACTCTCTTTTAATGTTCCCTATATTCTTTCTGCCACTTGTCACCCCACACCCCCCTCCCCACCACTGTGCAACAATGTTCCTTGGGCATCTCAAAGCAAGATGTCTGAAATGGAGTTCCATTATCTTCCCCTCCCCCTCCTCTGCCCAAGTCGCCTCACATCGTGACACTCCATCTCATTCAGTGGCACCACCATCTATCTATTGTCTGAGCCAAAAATATGAGAATCTCTCAAAATTCCTTTCCTTCATCTCCCCTCCTTAACCAGTCAGCCATAAAGTTCTTTTAGTACCACCAGCTAAATACAATTCCACCTCCACTGCCATTACCACAGTTGCACCTTTGTGGTTTCTCTTCTCTAACTGATCTTCCAGACTTCAATCTGGCCCTTCCTTCCTCACCTGCAACCTCCTGCACACTGTTCCCTTCCTAAGAGAATTAATGGCTACTGTTTGCCTTT